GAGCACTCTAAACCCACTGCCCCACTGTGCAGGTGAAAATAGGGATGAAATTGGCTGCAGTTGCTTTTCATTCAAAACCCTCTTTCGATTTTCAACTTGTCCCCATTTCAGGACATTCGTTTCCAAAGCATCTCTTCTAAATTTGGGGTTATTTAAACATTTTCCCAACAAACTGACAGGAAAATAAGTTTTGAAATTGCTAATATTTAGAGTGAGTTCTTGCCCTCTATTTAAAAGGCCCTAAAATAATGAGAAAGATTGTGTCATAATACAGCTGTGGACGATTTTGTCCTTGGTTATCATTTTTAAATTTGTATAAACGTGAAATCTGTATTCTAGCCTACTTTTTAAAAAAAAGACTGCCTTTGCCTCCACATTTATGCTTATACGTAGTCCTGTGCTTGCTTAGGAGAACACACAGTTTTTGTACATTTGTGCTCTGCACAGTGATAATTCACCGCCAAGGAACACTGTAGTTAGAATGGAATAACAACAACAAAAGAAACATCAAGTGAATTAATAGCAGAGCAGTGCATACACTTTCCTGTTCTCTTATAGAGACAGAAACAGACTATAATCTAAAGTCAGTTTTTCACACTCTCCTCTGTGGCTTTTACTCCATTTGACTGAAAACTTGTTTTTTTTTTCCTGAAGTGAAAGATTTAACTCTCAGTGCTCTCTATCCACTCACATGTCACTTTTGTCAAATCTTGCCTTTCCGTCTCTGCTTGGTGCGAAAGTGTAGACACGCTTGATCAAATGTGAGTTTAACATTTTTAATCTGTGCAAAGTTTCATCAGAATAGCTCATCTCATGAGGCTGGTAAATATGAAATTGTGTGTGTGCGTCTTTGTACGTGCCTGTGTGTTTGTGAATTGTACCACACAGTACCGTATGATCTGTATTTTTTTTTCCCTCTTTCCATCTTGGGTGTGTGACAGCTGTCACTGGTGACTCAGAAAGGTGTCTGGGCAGAGTTAACGTATTTTCACCGCTGGGAAACGCACAGACACACACACACACGCACACACACACACACACACACACTCACTCACAGATAGACACATATCAGCTCTAGCTGCTGTCACCAAGCACAAATTTCACCAAGCTCAGCATCTCTTTGCTGCTTTTGAATTAGGTTTTTTTGAATCACATTTCACACTTTATACACACTGCGTGCTGTTCATGTATTGCTTATTTGTTACTTTACTATTTTATTAGAAATAATTAGTGTCGGTAATTAACCATTTTAATTAACCATCATGGTTTGTCATGTGTATTATTTGTGTGATTCTTAATATAGTAACCACTGTAAAGAGTGGCTGTGGAAACAAAGGGGTACACTGCCATATGCTGTGTTTAGATCTTTAATGTGTGCTGTATTTAAATAATATGATGATCAGGCTTTCACCTCTGTAATTGAATAATATATGTTATACGCATACTGGAAATAATTCTAGTGAATACAGTCTATCAGCAGCTTATATACTAGTAGTATGTTACAATACATAACAACAGTACATGCTTAAACCTGTACAGAGGTATTTAAATAATGTAACAATGTCTGTGTTTTATGTTTATCTTTTCTCC